TATAATAGAGTGATTACCGAGTTTTAAACGATTTAAGAGATTGTCTAAATATTCTTAGGGGAAGAATATTTCAACGAAACAACTTATATTTTTTTTTCATATAAAAGTTGTTTTTTAAATATTCGAGGTTCTTTTTCTCTTCTGTTCACCAGTTAACGAAAACTTACTGCCGAGGAACGATATTAAGAAACAAAAATTCACACCGACGAAATTAAATCGCAATCGACATTCTTACAACGAATTCAATGAAATCAATACAAAATCCATAAGTTAATCCTCAAAATAAAATATTAATCGGCGGATAAACTCTTCCAAACAATATTTAACAAGTAAATTTCACCAAAATGAATTCATCAATTTCAACCAATTTATCCAAAATATTTGCAAGAAAACCGCAACGAGGACAGGGCCCGATCAAATAATTCGCAAACCTTTCAAATCCGGAGCGTTTAAAGCAGCGAAAGATAAATTAAGCGTCGGTAGACGATGTCTACCAAGTTACCAGGCTGGAAACACAACGTGGGGAGCGGGAAAACGTGACCAGGTCGACTCACGATTCGCGCATACACTCGCCGAACGCTCGACAACAGTTGTCGCGGTCAGATTTACAGCGTATTTTCTGCGATTATGGGAGACGCGTGGCATGCACGCTCTTCAATAATCCCGATTTATAGCCCGCTCTCATTTTTTCCATGGAAATGAAACACACGTTTCGCGTTTTACATTCGCGTATCGCCTGTGCGCTGTATGCAAACACATTAACACGTCGTTTCTTCCGTCGAGCAAATCCGAGTAAGTCACGTGCCGAGATCTCGAGGCGAGGTGTTAGGCGGCCTACGTTTGTGGAATCGCGCGTTGATGGATACGCGTGGATTATTAAATTTTGAATCGATGGAAGGAGGGAAAGGATAATGGAATTGTTGGGAGAATATTAGAATTTGTTTGTCACTGTTAAATGTTTGCGGTATTAAATATTTTATCAAGTTGGTAATTTCGCATCCCTTTACCGCGTTAATGGGCCAATTTCTATGTAGATACTCCGTGTCCCTTTCAACGAATTCTCGAGGTGTATCCTGTGTACGCGACGGAAATTCAAAACAGTGTCGTACTTTCCAACTCTCCCAACGTTTGTTTCTGTCCATCCATTTACACACGAGTGGTGTATAGGGATGGAGCCGAAACTTGGGGAAAGCTTCACTCGTGAAATCAATTTTCGGCATTCCTGCTGCATCCCTTCGGTGCTCCTCTTGTTTCGATTATCTTTCGTGAAGTTTGGTTCTACGGTAAAACACTTGTAAAACACTCTTTGCGAGTAAAACGGCAAACTTTCCCTTCCTCGATTAATTAATAATTTAATAATAATCGGCCTAACTCGGGGAAGAGTATCGCGGCGGTATCGAGATCTGGTTATTGATTTTTGAAGTATCGATAAAAACGTGAAAAACGAACGATAACGGACGCCGAGGAATTTAATACTCTTCGCGCAGGTCGTGGAACGCGTTCATTAAACAGGTTTATGACCGTATTCTCGACAAGCATTTTTTCGATCGGGCCCATTTTCTGAAATTACTGAACGCCATCGTTCTACGATATCATTGCGTTAATTTGTTTTCTAATTATCGGTGCTCGGCGTTATAATGGCGTTCGAAACCGATCGATACCGTGTAATTATTACTTTCCCGTAGTTACACTGTTTACCGAATATTGAAATTATTGCCGAAAATTGCTGGAAATCCGTTACACACAGCTTAAGACTCTTTATTATCGCATATATTTAATAATATGAATTATGAAAAACGATAATGAGCCGGTGACAAAAATTTCGATTACAAATTTGTAATGAATAATTCGCTCGTTATAATAAAAAGTGGCGAACTAAATTTAATCAAACGAGCCAGTCTCTATTAATGTTCGAATCTGGTGCGCACTCCGTGGCTGCAAGAAAAAAAAAAAAAACTAAAAAAGAGGAAAAAGAGTGTACACACTTATTTATATAAAATTTACCTACAATATAAAATGTATAATGAATATAATAAACGGAGAATCCATTAATTAATCGTTCAAAAAAAACGTCACGTTCCCGTGAGAGGATCGTTCGAAATTGAACATTCGATGAAAAAGATCGCGTACATACTTCTTCCCCCACACCGTTCCTCCTGATCGCCGTTGCAAGAAAAGACTCCCTGCATCTCGGTTAATCGACCCCCCCCCCTTATCCCCCTCGCCGCACGCTTTTCCCCGAAAAGTAACTCCTCCTGGAAGAGTAACTCTCCATTAAACAAGTTAGCTCGGTCAAAGAAACGAGCTCTCGCTCGGCTTAAGTAAAAGATTAAGGGAAAGATGAAAGCGGAGCGAAGGAAAGGAAAAAGAAGCTCGTCCTCACCGCGAGGCGGAAACCGCGGCAAGATCGCCATTTCAAGTATTGGTTTTCAGAAGCATTCGCTCGATTCTTCGAAATCTTCGAATCCAAAACGTTTTCGCTCGAAACGCAACTCGGGAAAAATGTTGGAAACGAGGCTGCTGCCCCCTCTAGTACACAGGTATATAAGACCTATTGGAGGAGGGTGAAAAGGTGGAGGAGAGGGCGGGGTATGGCGAAAGTTACTCGGCGGAAAATATAGAGGGGCGCTTTTAGGAAGTTGGGATTATCGAAACGCGAGTTGCGCGGACCTCCTCGCGGGAAACTCGGTGGCGAAGTTGGTCCAGGGGCTCGTAATAGTCGTTTTCCACGTGAAACTAACCGCCCCCTCCGTAGCTGGAAAAACCTACGGCCGCGTGCCCTTGCTAACTTTTGAAACGCGCCAGTTGGCGAGGAAACTCCTTTCAGCCTGCTTCGGATCGATATTAGCGAGAAAGGGAAGGAATTTTCTAATTTCTGATGAAACTTGGGTATAAATCGAGTTCCGCTCGAGGCCGAGTTTTGACCAAGAATCCGTTATGGGCGAATTCGTTCGTTTTGCTTTCCTGTTGGTGAATGGGAGAAGGGAAAGGTTGAAACGAATTAAAATGTGTGAATTAAAATTACAACGAGTAGTTTAACGTTTTATTTATCCGTTGAACTACTACGATTCTCGATCCCCTTCAAACGATAGGATGAAGTAATTGGTCAACATTGCGATTTGTATCGTTTATCATTCTTGCAAGGGTGCAAGGGTGGGTATAGATGGATTTTTAACCGTATGCGAAATAACACGTTTCCCGTGGAGTTACATTAGTCTATTCAAAGATAAGTTGAAAGATAATGGTAGTTGGCAGTCTGTTTATCAGGGGGAGCGAAAAAAAAGAGACACGGGTCCGGGGAGCGAGTTTTTATATGATTGATGATTCCACGAATGGCGGAATGGAAGATAATGGTAGCTGGCGAGAATTTTTTGCGATTTTTCCATTTTTCTTTCGCCATTCTGTCCTCCCCGAGTTATAATTTCGTTCTTCTTCCAGAAGAAAACCCTTCCCAAGGAAATCTCTAGAAGTAGAATAGTTGACCTTTGTATCAGCGAGTAAGTGGAGCCTGGACCTGAGGCAACAGAGAGTTTATTAACATTTCCAACTGCCCTCGTGGAAATTAATATTCCAGTATCATCTTCAGACCCTTGGCTCGTTTAGCGCTTTCAGCGCAAACAGTCCACGTGTAATTTCACGCTCGAATTTCGAACTCTCGATACATCCAACTTCATCTCCGTCTGAAGAATGGAAATTTAAGGAGTGACATAAAGATAAATTCCCGATATGGGAAGATACTCGATCCCATGGAATCGAATTGGAACGAATTTCGCCACAATTCGAGTTTCTTCTTCGTAGGAATGAAAAAAAAAAAAAAATAGGAGAAAAATTGGCGGGCGGTATCAGCGTCTTTGTAACAGAGGGATAGAAGGGATAACCGTGGAAAATGACTAAAAATATCACTAACGCGTAGATAGAATGTGGTGCGCGTATGTGGCTGTGATATTTTATAGAGTTTCATGGCGGCGATAATAGCGTCTATAGAACTTCCGTGATAGTTCCAATTTATGGGTAACGTTATCGATATTTCATCGGGTCAGATTGCAATCTAACATTCTAATGGGATCTAAAGTGAAAACTGTAAATTGGAGGATGCTTCCTCCTGGCCACCTCTGCTGGGATTAATCACCGTGATCGATTCGAGTTTGGCAAACGGACGTGGAACGAGAAAGCGAACTCGGATTAAAATTTGTAATATTTGTCATTGAAATGTAAATGTAATGTAGTATATGTATATATATATATAATCATCAACGATTTATCTTTGTTTATTTAGCAGAAGAGCTGAAAAGATATTATCGGTTAATGAACGGTAGATGTTCGTGAAAGATTTATATTTTTATACGAATAAGGAAATGGTATGTGCATAAATCAAAATTATAACGAGTGCTTTTTGCATTTAAATATTTTATGCATTTTTGCATAATATTCCCATCCCCGTACATTCTCTTTTAAATTTTCCATTGCCTGCACGAGTATCCGTATCCAACTGGTTAATAATGAATCATCGAGCTTGGATTATATTTTAATCCATTAAGCGCGCACGCAATAATTAATTTCGATCCTCTGAATTGTTTTCAAATCCATAACGTGATGAGCGAACGCCAAGATGGATTTCGAATTTTTTTCTAAATCGAAAAAGAAAAAAATCGCGACACGTTTCTGCATCCCTCAAGATACGATCGAAGAACTAGATCCACAAGTTTCCAAGTATTATCATTGCTGAGCATATCCAACGATCTTTCTTAAACTGATTAATCAATCGCGATAAAACGTGGTCTCGTTCGTGTAACGTTGTCCTCACGGTCCATTACACCTTTGAAATTCGTTTCGAGAATCCGTGCGCAAACGAGTTTAGAGGAATCAAATAGATATCGCCTGAGGATGAAAGTGAAGTGTATATATATATATATATATATCTCCTGTTTGAAACGATGGGTCGTCGTTCGTGGGTTACGATCACGGCTAATAAGCGGCCTGTGCGCGCGTGTGTGTTTCAGGCGTACGTTGATCTGGTGAAAGCCTGGGGCTGGAAGAGCTTTACCATCATCTACGAGAATAACGAAGGGCTGGTGCGTTTGCAGGAGTTACTGAAGGCGCATGGACCCAGTGAATTTCCTATTACGGTCAGGCAGCTGAGCGAGGGATCTGAATATCGGTGAGTTTTTTTTCCGATTTTTACTTGCTCAGTGTTTCTCAACGTGTCACGGATATATCTAGAATAATCGCATAGATTTTATTATTACGTAAAATTTTTTTAACCATACGGATAGAACGATTGGTTTAAAACTTGTCGACATTCGTGAGTAAGTAATTCTGGAGTAGGATTTTTACAAATGTTTATCTTGTGTTTTTCAAAAAAAGAATTGTTACGTACAGAGGGATGATAAAAGGAAGGTTGAGAGACGCTGCTTTAGATGAAAGATACTCGAATACTCGCAGTGGTCGATAGCTAACTTTTATTGATTGACGGATAAGTGTTCGATTACTTTCGCGGTAAATACAGTTGGCTGCGTTTGGGGAAAATGTATGCAGAGCGGTTGAAAGGAAAGAAAAAGGATTCATCGGTTATGAGAGAAAAGTAAAAAAAAAAAAAAAAAGTAAAAGTCGGATCTAATTAATCGAGCGATGAGATTTTTTCGTTTCGTTTGAATTCAAAAAAAGAAATTTTAATCGTACACCACCGTAAAAATGTTTTAATTTTAAATAACGTTTCAACGTCTCTTTTCTCAAAGCTTCTCAGACAACATGGTCAAAGACATTTTCAAAGACATTCTTAATCACGGACCGAGTTTTAATTAAAACGTAAATCTATAATTTCCAAATCCAAAGATGGTATTAAATCTTGCAATTACCCACCGCCTCGACCTTAAAATCAGATGTTTCCTCCTGTGGCGACTAATCTCTACTTAACTCTCGAATTACTTTCTTATCCGAGCCCGTTCCTCCAAACGTTATAGCAATTAAATTATTCGTTAATAGGGTGATTCACCGATTGGACGACTGCGAGCGTTGAATTCACGCTTATTTAAATATAAAAGGACTTGAAGGAACCTTTCACAGGTGAAAGGTAAGCTTCCAAATCTCGTTACTTAATCTGCGTTAATGAAGTTTCTTCTAGCTTCTAGCTTCTTTGAGCTCTCGTCTTTTTGTTCTTTTTTTTTAAAGTTTATCGAATCATCTTCGTTTATTAATCACAAATCATTGCGACAATCGATGCAAAATTATACTAATATTAATAAACGAACTTTGTAGAAAAACAGATGAAAGATGATAACGATAAACGATTGGATTTAATCAAATTGCCGATCGATTTCAATATGGCATCATCGATGCGCTGCACTTCCATCCTACTAACGTCTCGATGGAACGGTTGAAAAACGGTGGAATCGTTTCCAAGATTTATCGTCACCCCCTCCCCTTCTTTCTTATCGAAGCGTTTCTCATCGAAATCGATTATTCTCGAAAGGAAGTTATTACAAGGTGAAGAGGTTCTAAAAATTGGTTGGAAATTTATTTATAGATTATGAGAATTACAAAGAATCGAAAAGAATTACGCTTGAATACTTGAAACGAGGATAAGAAAGAGCTCGAACAATTCGTCAAGATGTTTTTCGCCAAGAAATCGAAGAAAGAAAGGATATACTGGCGATTTTGGACGATTGGTTCGATCTCTCTCTCTTTAATTTTCATTTTAATGCGATTCGTCGTCAAGTTTAAAAAATCCCACAACGACTCGTGCACTCGTCTCGTCCTCGAGTTAGTTAGGCGGAGAATTTTCGCGGGAGAATCTCGTTCGTGGTGAATTGGACGGAAGAGGAGGCCAGGCGATCCATCAAGATCGCGCGTAAAATGCAGTCAATCTATCAAACGTCGCGTCGTGCAACATAACTGCCTGTGTAAATGCAGATTTTAGAGAGTCGAGACTTGTACAACGTTTTGCTTTTCATTTCTACTATTGATCGAAACTACCTACGTGCGATATATATATTTATATACGTATTGAAAGAGAAAGAGGGATTTTAATTCGCAACAATAGACGTTTCGTAATTGGCGAGATGACTTTTTACCATTATTACGTGTAAAAACTTCTTGATGATATATATATATTTGCCAAAGTGGGTCGTAAAAATCGTGATGTTGTTGCATTCAATTACATTCGTGTATTTATTACGATTGCTTATTACAAATTTATTTATTCATTGTTCGATGACATTGTTATTTTCCCGTTTATTACTCGCGGAACAGAAATGGGTGTAAATATGTATCGATAAATCAATACATATATAACCGGACTCATAAAGTAAATCTCTAAAATATGCACGATCCGATAAACGATATCCAATCGCTTTAATGAACTTTTCATTTACCCCGATATCAAATGTATCCAATATCAACGAATCAAAATTTGCGGATCGTGATGAAATCAAATATCGAGGAGAGAAAAAGCTTGTCAAAACTCTGGAAAGAGTAGAAGACTCGACGACTCAACTCGCCATGGCGAAAGTTGTCGGCTATCGAAATCGCACCTAACCAATCGTTCCAAGCGTCGATGAGCATCGTATAATCGTCCCCTCTGAACCAGCCACTTGTCGAAAATTCAGCAATTCCGATGATCGACGTTGTCGTTGCATTAACGCGGCGAACCGTTGCAACACCGGTTCTGTCACGATCGATACTTGTACCATTCCCGGAGAATACACCATTACGAATTAAACTCCTCTCTCTCTCTCTCTC